CAAAACTCCCATTTTGCTCTAAGCATAGGCGTGTGCAGGCGTTGTGCCAGGTAATGTCTCAAAAAACCAGTGGCTTTGCGTTTTAATTTAATCGCATGATACACTCTTTTAAGTAAAGTTTAGTTGTTAATTTTAAGAAAATTAAGTTTAGTTAAGTTTTAGTTTCTTTAGTCTGTCTGATGAATAAAAATAATGTCCTTTATGGCTGAGTATTCAATAAATGTTCGCCTTTAAAAAAAATAATAAATAAAATTCCCTGGGTACACACTCTAATGAAATATTCTGCGCACGCTTGTGACTCTTAAGGATCACTTGGCTAAGCAAGGCCTGCGCTCGGAACCCAGCCCCTCCTGACTTGGGAATTTGACCAAGCTGTAAGGTAACAACCCCCATTTTGCTCATGGACTCCATTTTGGGTTGCAAACAACAACAGGAATCCATATCGGTGCTCCTTTTCCTGCTCTTTCCATACAGCAGGGGGAAACCCTGGTATAATCTGCCCAGTAACTGGAGATCACATGGGCAGAGACTGAATAGTTGCAACTGCAGACTTATTTAGGGCCGCTTTTGGCCCATCTGAGTGGCAGAGTCTTGCTGTCTCTCAGAGCGGGTACACCGGTCTCACGCCTAGGGTAGCTGGGTGGGAATAGGCTCACTTGCAAGCAAGGAGCGGGTAGCTATCCACTGCTCCTTATCATCATCCACACACTTACAGCCACGACAACGCAGGGGAGGGGAGGAAAAATCAGTGGTTAGACAACACTGCTGCTGTTCCTGCTAGTTCTGACCCCTCCTGACCATCCGGAGCTGTGTTGCAAGATCGAGGGAGAAAGCTGCAAGACATGGCACAGTGTTGGTGGCTGTCTATCTAGCCACCTTCCTGTCCTTTTGGGTCTATTTTGTGTCACAGTTCAGTTCAGTGTATTCTGTTTCCTATATTCCTTTGTAACAGTGGGGTCCTTATAGATCTGTTTGTATATCACAGTTGTATAGTTAATACTTACCTGTCGTACCTTGTTCATCTCCCTTTTTCCTGTTAATAAAATCCCTTTACTTTACCACTCTTGGTCTGTCTTCTTACCTTTAGAGTAAGCTATTAATGACCTGATGATAGATGCGGGTATTGGGATGGGATCGAGATTCCTTGCATCCAGGGTTTCGCTGAGAAAGTGCCCCGGTGCATCACACCAGCCCAGTTGCGCCGGAGGGCGGGGAATGAGCCGGGATGAACGATTATAAAGATGAAGGATGAAATCCAGACTGCCAATGGCAAAACTCCCATTTCACTCTATGGCTGTGTCCAGACTCAGGGTTTTTTTCGGGAAAAGTAGCCTTTTTCCGAAAAATCTTCCCCTGCGTCCAGACTCAAGCCACGTTCTTTCGAAATTAAATCGAAAGAACGCGGCTTTTCTTTCGATGGCGGTAAACCTCATTTCACGAGGAAGAACGCCTTCTTTCGAAAGTTCCTCTTTCGAAAGAAGGCGTTCTTCAATGTAAATAGGGCTTCTTCAAAAGAGAGCATCCAGACTCACTGGATGCTTTCTTTCGAAAAAGCAAGCCGCTTTTTCGAAAGTTCAACGTGCAGTCTAGACGCTCTCTTTCGAAAGAGGCTTGCAGTCTAGACACAGCCTAAGGATCACTTGGCTAAGCAAGGAACCCAGCCCCTCCTGGCTTGGGAGCAGGAGCAAGCGGGGAGTAAGTTCGTGTTGCCGGCAGGGAGGAAATTTTTTTTTTTTTTTTTAATTTCAACCTCTCTCGCTGTTCAAAAAGCTCTGCCTGACAACGTAGCAACTGCATCCCCAACTGTGATTGCTCACTATTGGATGAAACAGACCAACCAAGAGCTGGCAAGTCTTATCCCCAGGGCGCTTCCTGATCTGGGCTTGTCTCCAAGGGAATTTGCGAGCAAATGACTGTCACTCGGAGTCCTTCGAATGTTCTTTCTTCCGCCTGCGGAGCTCTCGCCCTGAGGATTAGTTCTCCCTCCATCCCTAGGAAAACTGCTTTGCTCCGTGCCCATAATCACCTGGCTCTTTCTAGCAAAGCCCTTGTTGGTGGGAATCCCAAGGAGCAAAGTCGCACTTGTGTTCATTTGCACGCTGCGGATGCCAGGCAGCCCTTGGGGCTGCTGGGATGACACATGGATTCTAGGGTCAGAATCCCATTACATGTTGGTTGTATTCTGGTAGCACCCAAAGGGCCAGTCGAGATCAGAGCACAGCACAATTATAGAGTAGGAGAAGGTCTCCGCTCCAAACAGTTTTCCATCTAAATCAGGGCTTCCCAACCTGTGGGTCGGGACCAGGACCGGACTGAGGGGTGGGTGAGCCGGGCAGCTGAGCCGGTGGGTGAGCCGGGCAGCCCGGGGCGCCAACCGATGGGGGGCACCTGATGGCAGCTGTAAGGGGTGCGCGGCATCCCTTATAGCGCCGCGTGCCTGGCTCCCGCAGCGCTGACCCCATGGTGCTGGCCAGCAGCGCCCTTCCTCCCACAGCCGCAGGGTCCTACCCGGCCCGCGCCCCATGGGCGGGCCTGCGCATGCGCCGTGTGCCCGAGGCGCCAAAAGAGCTTGGGCCGGCCCTGGTCGGAACCCAAATCTGGGTCGCCATTACATTTCGAAAGGGTCACCAAGTGTCTCCCCAGGTGGCTCTGCCCTCCTCCTCCTTCCCCCCCGTTTTTGAATTGCCTTGAGTCACCAACTCTTCCTGACTTGTCAAAATGGGTCCCCAGCTGGAAAAGGTTGGGAACTGCGGATCTAAATAGACAGACCGAGTGGGGGAGAAAGGGATGCGACATGCAAGCAGAGGGATTGCACACTATGTTCGTACAGGTTGGACCTCTCTCGTCCGGCACCCTCGGGACCTTACCAGACCTGAACGAGGGAATTTCCCCTGCTACTGGCCCCCCAGTTTCCCTCCCCGCTGCCAGCCCTACCCACCAGGCTGCTGCGCTGCAGTGACCCTGGCAAACTAGACTTCTGCGGCCCCAGCCCTGTTGTCAGGGCTGCTGCATCCCTGGCCTCGGCCGTGCTACTGGGGCTGCCACGGCCACGGCCCCAGTTCCAGTGCCAGCTCTGCTGGGCTCCAAGCCACCAGCCCTCTTGCCACTGGGGCTTCCAGCCAGGACTCCCTAGTCCAGGAATATCTGTGGTCCTACTGGACCACGGATGTTGCCGGACGAGAGAGTCCTGATTTTAGGAGGATCACCCTGTACACCACAATATTTGTTGTAGTTGGATTTTGTTGGTTTTTATATTTTTGGGGGGGGGGGGAAATGGGGTCTATTTGACTCTGCGGGTGTTTAATGTACCCTGCGGTGGGGAAGAATAAGGAAGGGAGGCAAAAAGAGATCTGCTAAAATGTCTGGCGCATTCATTATTTATTAATACTCAAGTCACCCTGCAAACTCCCATCACCTTGCAGTACAACGCTGATTGGCAGTGGAAGAGCTGAGCAGCTGTGCCCAGGCATTGGGACAAGATTCACCCTTTTAGGCAGCTGCTGTCTTTGGGGGGTGAGGAACAAGGCTGCTCCCCAGTCGTGTCTCAGGTGGCCGGGTGCCAGGGCCGCCCAGAGGATTAAGGGGGCCCTTCCTGGCACTCCCTGTCTCAGACCTCTGACTTCAGACATTCTTGTGGGGGGGCCCGGGGTCTGGGGCAAATTGCCCCCGGGTGCCCACGAAGCCTGTTTCATGTGGCACTGACATTTCCCTGCAGAGAAGTTCGCTGCGCTGCTGAGGGCATCAGGTTTTCCCTGTACTTTCCCTGCTCGCGGGTTTTGAACGTTCAGCGTGTGCTGAGCCTGTCTCCGAGAAATGCAGCATGTAGGCCAAACCACAAGCTAACCCCCACTCCTTAGTGCTGATTCAACCGTGCCTGAAATAGCAGACGACGTACCTGCAACAGACTAAACTTGAAACACGAAAGCCAAGCTCTGAGCTGCACCCACAGAATAAGCTCTGAGACGAGGGATTTGCCCCTTATTACTGTGTGGCACACAGGTGCTCTCCATGCTTTGTAGTGATATTAACCATGCAGGGTTCCTTGGCACGGCAGGTTAGTGAACTCGCCTCGGCGTCAAATCCTAGCGCAAGCCTGAAAGGTAGATACGTCTGTAAGTCGCACCTGGAGTCTGCTCTGCATTTCGGCATCCTGTACCCAGCCTGTCAGTTTTACGGACCCACGTCCTTCTGCAGGAACGATTTTGTTCAGCCGCTGCTATAGCCTTTGCAATAGGGTTTACAGTGCGAGGACTGACTACGCAGACTGGCTCTAGCTCAGAGTCTCAGCAGTGCATGGTTCTGGAAAGCAGCGTACGGCACAGCCGGCACCGGAGGCCTGTGGGTGGAGGGATTCTCTCTTGCTGACAGTCAGATGGTGTGTGGGGAAGCAGAGGGAACGCAGCCCTCTGAAACAGACCTTTGCAAAGAGAGGAGCAGGCTCCTGTTCCTGATCAGTGCCAAGAGCAAACCTTCGGGGCGGTTTCCTAGGTAACGAGGGGAATCCCCATTCTGTAAGGAAATTCCCGCCTGCCAAAGCACACCAGATGAAATCTCAAACAAGGAAATGGGATCTGGAAGATGAGGAACTCGGAGACCGTAGCTGGGCTGTGGGACCCTTTCTCGCCTCTCAAATGGTAGAGGATGTTGGAACACCGTCGGCAGGGCGAGAGATGGACCTTTGGTCTGACCCAGTACGGCCGTTCTTACGTTCTAACAGTTCATGCTTCCTCTGCAGCATTTCCCTGTGGGGCCGGGACATGTACAAGCCAGTCCCTGCTGCTGAGCTGACCCTCGAAATCTGAAAAAAGACCTAACAGCGCAGTGCTGAGGAAGTCTCACAGGACACCTGCGGAGTCCTGCCCCAGGGGGTAGGCCTGAGCACATGGAGCCTCGCCATGGCAACGCTCTGTTTCCCCAGACTGTCCTGAGCTGAACGCGCACCCCTCCTCCCCGTGATATGGTTCACTTATCATGTAAAAAGCCAAAGCTGCCCCCATTCTTTATGACCACGGGTTTGTCCGAGAGCAGCAAAGAGAGCTGCACCGGCGGTCGATGGCACCCTCATCCGGCGGGGGCCGAAAAGGGCTTGTGCCAGCTTCAGCGAGGTTATTTTGACCTCTTATGCCATCAAGTTCTCTGAAATCGTCTTCTTCCTGTTCCTCTTCCGCTGGGGTCAGAAGCACCTGCCTTCTGTACTCAAACGGCAGGTCGCTCTCAAACGGCAGGTCGCTCTCAGAACCTGCCTGGCCCTCCTTGGCCTGTAACATCTCTGCCGTTTCTTCCGTCGCCGTGTCGGGAAGCAGGGAGTGAGTCTCGGTGTTCATGTCAGGCTCCCCTTTGTCTGAGGTGAATTCGGTCACCAGCGGTTCCGTGGGGCTGACTTTCTCTGAGGGCTCCACAAATCCTGGCCGCAGCTTCTCCTGGAAAGGACAAAGCACGTGGTCAGTGCAAAGCCACCCGATGTGGGACATGTGTGTGTCACGCATCTGAGTACAAACCATCACGTTGACACGCCAAAGGCAGAACAGCTCCGGGGGCATTTCAGGCAAGCTACACAATTCCAGCCTCCCCCTAGACTCCTTCCTGGGACTGCCACCAGGCTGAGATCCTGAGACTGCTGGGACACAGGTCACAGGTGGAGCATGCTGGCTTCAGGCCTGCGATCGGATTCCCTCTAGCTACTGTCTACAGTGACTCCAAGAGCCGTCTACTCGTAGAGGACTTTGTGAGCTCAGGTGGGAAGAGACCTGGGCCTGAGGGAGCCAGTTTCTGTCCACAGTCCCCTAGTACAGACCTTCCTCCCGCCATGTTAGGCCTTTTGGGGTTGGTCAGATGTGCTCAAATTATATTGTTATTAGCAGGGCTCGATGGCGAGTAGATTACAACCTGGAAGAGCCGGCGCAGCAGAGCGCAGAACCACGCGGCTGGCGAGCGGGGCTCGCCGCCACTTGGCGAGCCTTGGTTAGTCGCATGTTTTCAGCAATTGCATGAGACATGCAAAGCCTGATTTGACCACCACTCTCCATGCAGCTTTGCTGTCTCGGACAACCTTCTGACTTTTATCCCATGAATCCTAGGGTTTCCAGGGGTCCGGTTTTCACCCGGACAGTCCAGTATTTGTGGCCCCTGTCTGGTAAAAAACCCAGAAAATACTGGACAGAAATATTTTCTGTTTTGCTCAGACAGAAGGCCAGCATTCTTCCCTTGCCACATTTGGCAGGAGGAAGAGGAGCGGGGAGCGGGAGGATTTAAAGGCACAGTGAGGTTTTTTTTTTTTGCTGAACCAATTTTTTCCTCCATCATGTTCAGGATTTTTTGTGAAAGTATCTGGCAACCCTAGTCATCTCCTTCCCCCACAGCAGGCTGCCTGGCCTGCAGCTTCTTCCCAAGGTAAGAGTTTGGGGTCGGAAACTCACCTGGCTCATCTCCTCAGCGGGGAACTTGAGGGCTTGGCTGTCCACGGGGCTGGGCAGAAGTGGGAACAGCACTTTCTTGACCCTGGAGGATGTTGGCAGAGGTTGGTTAGTGTGCAGAAGAACAAAAGGGCATAGAGAACCGGAGCAATGGGAGAGAAAAGGCCAGCACATTCACCTCTTTTTGCCGAAGTGGTAAAACATGGCCAGGATCAGGATGCCTAGGAAAATACCGAGGTACCTCAGGTTGACTTTCCACTCTGGAGGGTTGGGACCTAGGAGGAAACACAGTTCTTTTTTGTATGGTGCCTGTGGAAGGGCCTGTGTCTCAGCAGAGCTTTGACTAATTCAGGGCTTGGACTCTCTCTCGCTGCCCCTGTGGCGTGTCATGGCAGAGCCCAATCAAGGAGGCGGTGGGGTGGAGGCAAGGTCAGGGCCAAGCAGCAGGATCAGGGCCTTGCAGAACTGTAGCTCGATTCCTGGCTGTGCCACTGACTCACTGTGTGACCTTGGGTAGAGCACTTAGTACCCCCATCAGTACAATGGGGGCCCGAAGCAACAACAACGGGGTGCTGCTGTTGTTCAAACAGAGGTGCACGTTCCCCGCTCCTCGCTGGACTGCTGGGGAGGTGCAGGCGTCTCTGCTTTTGCTTTTGTGAGCCTCTCTGCCCACAGCTTCTGCCAAAGCTGTTCCTCTCTGCTTGCAGGAGAGGAGGAGACGCAGGCCCTCCCGGGCCAAGAGAAACCTCCTCGGGCTGAAAGAGTCTCTTCCAGGAATCTGAGCCTCAGAGCAGCTCCTGCAAGCTACTCACTTCACACACACACACCCGCCCCGGGCCAAGCAAAGATGGGGGGGCTCCACCGGCTATTACCGAGCTTCATGGTCCGAAACGGGTACTGGGGACTGCAGGGCGTGTCTCGGTCTGCGGTGGCTGCCTGAATCCCAACCCGGTAGGAAGTGCTGGGCTGCAGGTCCCGGAGGGCGTAGTGCATCGCTGAAGCGTTTGCTTCGTGATCTGGTTAGATGATGATGGATGGGTTGAGCTATCAGCAGCATGGGAACCCCTCCCAATTCTGCTTTCTTTCTGGGAAACAGCTTGTCCCAGTTTCAGCTCTCCAACTATTTCCCATGCCCTTCCGCCTAGGATATTGGCCACCTCCAGAGCAGCCCCCCTCCTCCCTCCTATCTCTCTTTGTCTCCCCTCCTCCCAGCTTCTCTCTGCTCCTCTGCCCAGCCCCAGCGCGGTCCTGTCTCTAGATCTATTTGGCGCACGGAGTCGCTGACTGTTCTAGAGGCAGCAGGAGCAGGAGACCACACTCACCCTAAGGTGCTCTCGCTGGCTGATTTCTGCTCAGCTCAGTCATGCAGGCAGCCTGCCTATGACCCATGCTAAGCTGCGGCCCGCTCTTGGCATAATGCGTTGGAAGGGAGAAAGGCAAAGCCAAGGGTTTTGCACTCACATAACATTCTGTTCTCTTGCTCACTCCTGTGGCAGATTGTGAATTTCTTCAGAATGCCGGGGCACTGGGAGACGGGTGACAGATTCCAATGCAGGACAGCTGAGGTCGCTGTGATGTTCTGGATGTGAAGGGGCCCATCCAAGGAAGCTGTGAAAGGAGAGGTAGGAAAGAAAAGCAGCAAGTGGGATTCACTGCTAGAAAAAAAGCCACTCATTGTTTTTATTATTTTTAAAAGGTATCCAACTCCTTTCTCGTAACCCAAGCCAATAGTAATTGCTTATTTTTTCCTTACTGAAATAAGGAGCAGATATGTGGGGGGAAGGGGTTGTAATGCTCTAATTACTACAGGGGTTAATGCATTATTTCCAAATGCTATTAGCATAAAACATGTCCAGTATTATGATGATCAAATATGAGCATACATCCAGTCTTGTGCACAATGGTCATAAACATTTCAAGATCGCTGCTAGCGTTCCCTCTAATTTTTTCCATCCTTGTGCAGAATAAATTTTGTTCTGTGCACTGGGACATGTGTGGATGTGCACCACCCATAGAAGCGCACGCTGCCAGAGTCGGGCAGGCCGGCGGCTGTGAGCACTCTGCTAATCACCTGAATCTCTCCTGGATGGCTGCGCTTCTTACCCAGGCTTATTTCGCCTACCCATAACCTGCTCCCTTCAGTTCCCTGGATTACAAGCAGCTAAGTTTGGCCTTTGCTTGAGCACCCACTGAACCCTGAGAGGGCTGCCTGGCCCTAAGGAATTCCTGCCTCTGAGCAGTGAGGGTTATACTGGCATCTTGGTTTCCCACCCATACAGAGCGGGGCTCTGAAGAGCCATCCTGTGAATAGTGCGGGTTTGGGAAAGGCCCCTTGTGCAGGACTTCCCCTTGGCCTCTTGCATCTGCTCTCATGCACTTATTGTGTGACATACTTTTTAAATGCTCCTTTCTGCAGGGCAGGGACGGTGTCTTTGCTGGTTTCTCGGAGGGGTCTAGCACGTTTTGTGCAGGGTCGTGAGGAATCATTTCTTGCTCCCTCGGTGAGAGCAGAAGGAGGCATGGGAGGAGGGGTGTTTTGGGTTGTGCAACTGACCAACTTTTAGAACCTGAGAAAATATATTTAAAAAGGACCCATTCTACCATCAAGCCCCTCTCTGCTGAGGCTCACATACCCTGCCTACTCAAGGTCATCTGGGAGTCCCTCTGCCTGGCACGTGTGTGATAAAAGCAGGTTGAATTGCTCTTGTCCTTCCCCAGTGGAAACACGACATGCTCAAACTTACTGTTTGTAGCAAAGTGATACGTAGAACCAAACGTTGACCAGTGCTTCTCGGGTCCCAGTCCGTGAATGGCAATTCTGTAACACTTCTTAGGTTGCACTGTCCCTGGAGCATAAAACCAGGAGACACTCCTCTCAGATAAGGGGAAGGGAGTGACCTTCTGTCTGCACTGCCCGATCCCACGAGGAGATAAGGACTGGCACGGAGAAAGTGAGGCAGGCTGCATATCTCAGCTGATTGCCCGGCTTCGCCAAGTGGTGGGAATTTCCAGCATCAGTAAAGGAACATTTTGAGAGGCCAAAACCTGCCTGCAAACATTCCCTCTGATTTTTTTCCACCCATGTGCCGAATAAATTTTGTTCTGTGCACCGAGGATGTGCACCACCCGCAGGAATACATGCTGCTGTCTGTGGGCAGCTGTGGGTTCTCTGCTATTCAGCTGGGCCACAACTGATTCTCTCCTGAGTGGCCGCCCAAGCGCTCGGCTTACAGGGAACGCTGCAACCTGCTGCTCCCAAATGACAGCTGCAGCACGGACTTGGAAAGCGCCGACAGCTTTGGCTCCAGGTGGAGCCAGGCCTTTGCCTCACACAGACACCTCTGGACCACGGGCCACTGAAACAGACCCAGAGATTCGTGCTGACGGCAGGGGGCTTGGCTCCACCTGGCTGTTCCACACGGGCATTTAGCTTCCCAACAATTGGCGGAGGAGCAGGGTCCCCGGACGGAGCGGGCTGGCAGAGGGAGCCTGAAGAAAGGAAGGTTAAAGAGATGGGATTTGTCCCCATTATTACCTGTATCCACATAACTGTCCTGTTCAAAGAACTGTTTGTGGATACATTCCTCCCGGCCCTCCTGGGGGTTTTCCAGGGGTTGCCTCTCGAAGCAGTAGCGGGTCCCATTGGTCTTTGCTGCCCACTGCACTGTCACGCTGCTGCCAGCCGAGCTGACGTTCAGGAAGCCGATTGCTGGGAGGCAATACAAGGAGACGCGTTATGAGCGGAAACACGGCACCAATGGCTCAAACACACGGCTCCAAATTCCCGGCACCCCGGGGCGGACAGCACTGGGGTCGGGGCACAGATGGGCAGGACCGGTGTCCTGTGTGTTGACCATCCACCCGAAGCCCTGATCCTGCAGTTGGTCAGAGGGAGAGGTGGGCGCCCGTCCCCATTTGCTGAGGCCGTGCAACATTGAGGGCTTTAGCAATGCCATTTGTTGAAATCTCAAAGAGGGGAATAACCCAGGGAAAAGACCTTAATCCTCTGCCATTGAGCCCAATGCTCTGGCTGCAGTCCCCGTCCAAGGCCACGGCAGCAGGGCCAGCAGTCAGTGTTCCCTCTAATTTTTTCCAGCCATGTGCGGAATAAATTTTATGTGGACAGAGACGTGCAGAGGTGCACCACCAGTAGAAACACATGCTGGCGGCTGTGAGTGCCCTGCTAATCAGTTGGGTGGCACCTGAATTGCCCCTGGGCAGGGAACACTTCCAGCAGTGGATGGGTTTGGTCCTTGCAGGAGGCATGCTAGGGCAGTGGCGGTGCGGAGGGGGAGCTGAGGTGTCCGTACCTGGGTGATGTGCTGGAGGGATGTGATATGTCCACAAGGGCCCACTGCCTGCTGAGTTAGAGGCGCCCATAGAAACGTGGTACTCTGCCCCGGAAAGAACCACGCTCAGCGTCGTCGCATTCTTTACGTGGACGATATCCCTCTCTTGCTCTTTGCACCCGCACGCCCGCATGTCGAACGTCAGCGTGTAGCTAATTTCTCCCTGCTCTTCACAGGCTTCCTGCCGGGGGTTTGGAAGGATGACGGTCAGTGACAATACCCTGAAGCTGTGCATATGTAGAACTCGGGCAGGATCAAGGAGCCTGTTGTGAAAATAGTCACGTGGCCTAGGTTTTTTTCACGGCCCTCGTGCAATGGCCAGGGAGCTGCGGTCACTGCGGCCTTCACCCCCACCAGAGGGAACACCTCACAGACCCCCGTGGGATCAGAATTGGGGGAGGATGGTGGCATGACAACTTTCATCCCGATTGGACAAGAGGGTCCAGGATGGTAGCCCACTCACGGGAGAGTTAAAACACCTCTTGAGGCCCCACTCGCGTGGGACCTGCGTTGTCCCCGGGCCCCTGGAACCGATTTCATCCATCCGTGCGTGCAGTGGTGGAATTCACGCACTGCATTACCTGCCAGTGGACCGTCACGTTTCTCCGCCCGTTCCTCCCGAGTCTCCCCACCGTCAAATTCACCTCTGGGCTCGCAAGGATTTCTGGAAGGAGAGCAGGGAACTCTGGCCTCCTGTTTTCTTTCTCTCTGCAACGTCCTGCCCGCCTGCTTTCCACCCCTCCACTTCTGGCCTTCCTTTTCCTCCCCTCCCCCAACAGCATCTCTGCCCACGGTGTGGGTCATGTGAACTCTCCCACCTTCGGGGACAACAAGGGATTTGCTCCAGGTGCTCCAGTAGCTGCTCCAATGGGCCGTTTTGTGCCGCAGCTGGACTTCGCAGGCCGCGCGTGTTCCCAAGTTGCAGATCACTAAAGCAAACCAAGACAGCAAGGGCTGAGTGCCACACGCCAGGGGGAGTTTTCAGCTTCGCGTGGGTACCGTGCCCGTCTGGCTGCCATGCGGGGAGACTGGGCCTGGGGGCGGTCAGAGAAGACGGGGGGATCCCTTGAATGTCAGAGCAGAATTCCTGGGATACCCCCCCCCCCCCTCTTCCGTGCCCCTGGAACGTGAGGCCAGCTGAGAAATTGCCTCCCAGCCAGAGAATGAAGAAGCTGGAGGGTGTTGGAGTGACCGGCACGGGCAGATGTAATTCTCAGGGCCTGGAAAGCAGCGGAGGGTGGAGAGAGGAGACCAGGCACTCCCCAAGCTGCGGCAGGTTTCACAGAACAGAGGCTTTGCTGCTGCTTTCCTCTTATAACACCCCCTCCCAGGTTCTCTACTCTGGAGGCAGCACAGGCCTGTGTCTCCATCCTCTGCCTCCTCCGAGGAGGGGCTGTGTGGGACACGAGGACCCCGCGCCAGGGTTTGTATGCAGTGAGCAGCCGCACGCATCTGGTTCACACGTAAATCAGAGCTGGGCAGGGGTGGGGGGTGTTACCTCGGAGGCTGAGAAGGTTCCTCCCTTAGATACGTGCCTAGAGAGAGGAACACTCCCAGCAGCTGTTGCTCTCCCTGTGCTGGGATCTAGGGTTGCCAGGTGTCCAGTATTGGACTGGACAACCCGGTATTTGTGGCATGTGTCCGGTAAAAAAAACCTCAGAAAATACCAAATTTGTAAAATAATTTTTTGGATGGAAGGCTGCTTGGGACATTCCCCCGCTTGGTGAGGGGGAGTGTGAGTGTGTGGGGATTTAAAGGGACTATGACTCTCTTTTTTTTTTTTTTTTCCCGCCGTGTTCGGTATTTTTTGTGAAACTATCTGGCAACCCTCCTGGGATCGAGCTCTGTAACGGACAGGGGCGGTGTCTGCGAGGAGACGCTGACCTGTTTTGTCGTCGTCCTGGGTCTGACACGCCACCTAGAAACAAACCAGACAAAGGAGATGCAAAGGCAGCGCCACCTTGCAGCGTCCCGTCACCCTGCGGCACTCACGGCCGGGCCTCGTGAAGGCTGAAATATTACTAGATTCCAGGACCACTGATGGGGGCGGGAATGCCTCAAGGCCCAGCGATTCCAAAAGGTCCTGGCCCCATTGCTACTGTGACCACAGCAACAGTGGCTAGAGCCCCAGGCCTCTTAAAGCACCACCAGAGTCCCAGGCAATGGCAAAGGGTGACTTGGAAAGGGACGTGGTGCGGTCCGGGTGGCGCTGAGGGCTGGCCCCGCCCCTTCCACCGAAGGCCCCGCCTCCTCTGGGAGCACAGAGCTGCCCCCCCACACACCTTGCTCAGGGGCCCGGCAATTCTGACAGCCCTCCCACTGCTAGATTCAAAAAAGAATGAGATGAGTTGGTGGAGGATAGGTCCAGCCTCATGTCTGGGCGCCCCTAACCCTCTGGCTGCCAAAAGCTGGTCCTGGCCAGGGGCGGGATCGCTCAATAACTGCCCTGCTGTGTTCATTCCCTCTGGGGCACTTGGCACTGGCTGCTGTTGGCAGACAAGACCCTGGGCTAAATAACCCTTTGGGCTGACCCAGCATGGCCGTGCACATGTTCTTGCAAAGGGCCTGGGTGCAAGGGAGCCCACCTCTTAGCATCCGGATGCAAGGATTTTTCTGCAAAGCAAACACCACCGCGGGGGTGGGGGAGCGAGCGCCTGTGACCCTCGGGGGGCAAAGCCGGCACTTTCTCAGCAGGAGCCGCTCCATCGCCCCGTGAGAAGGATCCAGGCACCGGCTCCCGCTCAGAACCGTGCGGGGCGCAGCGCTCAGAGAGGAGAACTGGGGAGCAAGCCGCCACGGTCACTGGCTAACCCTCCGCTTCCAGGGTTACAGAGCCCGGGCTCCTGTCCAGATGCCTTCTCCGGACGGCGTTCCGCCCCAGCTCGGGGCTCTATGCTGTGACACCAGGGGCTAGCCGGGGAACCCGGGCCCGTCCTCTGCATCGGTTCTAGCTCAGGGGCCTCGCCACCCGCAATCAGACCTGCTGTCTCGGGCCTTGTAGCTGTTTCCCTGGGCTCCTTCCTGCCCAGCCTCTCTCCCTTCTGGCCTGTTTCTGGGGTTGCCACTGGAGTTTCCTCTACTCCCTGTGGCTGCTTCACCCCCACCAAGCCTTACTCCAGGGCAGGATCATTGGGTTTGCTTTCTCTTTGAAGTATCCCCTTGTCTCTGATCTTTCACTACTGCTCGGCTTCACTCTCAATGCTGGTC